AATTAGAATTTATATACCTGTTTTAATTATTGACGCAGGTGTAATTATATTTAGTTCTTGGGTACGTGTAATCGTTTCATAACATACAGGGCACGTTTTTATTTTCTCAGAACACGTTTCACAGCACCAGCCATGTTCACACGGAATATAAAAATAAATATTATCGACCTGACCACTTNTAAAAAAATGAATATTATCGACCTGACCACTTAATTTTTTATCCTCGCAAAAAGTGCAAGAGCTTTGATCTACAGCAAAAAAAAAAAAAGAAATAATTGTTAAATAAATTTAAAGTTAATAAAGTTAAAATTTTAAACTTTAGATATATTTTAGTTTTAAGTTCAAAAGAATTCTAAGAATTATTTTCTAATGTATTATTTTAAGCTTCTAAAACTCATTNTAATGCATTATTTTAAGCTTCTAAAACTCAATAAAAACTATAGCGGACACCTCCGAAACAGGTATATCTTGAACATGTATATTCTTTAATCGAATTTTATACTTACAGTATAATTTAATTCGACATTTAATAAATTAGCCATAAATTCTATTGTCTTATATCTGATTAATAATACAGGATAATAATTTATAAACTATAAAAATAAATTTTTTGTTTTTCATAAAAAAATTGTCTTATGTAATAAAAGTTTAGGACCTAAAGTAACAATTAATTATTTTTTTTACACATTTTATTGGATAGAAAAAAAATTCTACTTTCTTACATATATCTCCAGTTATATATTTAAAAAAAAGATAATATTTATCCAAATCCATCAGCTTTGAAATTATGCGATTATCATATCTCTGTGTAATTTGTAATTTATTTACAGACATATTATTCATCGATTCGACACGAGGTTCATTAACAAAGTGCACTTTATCTTTCATTAAATGCATACAGCCTAATAAATCATTTCTATAATTTTCGTTTTCTTCATTAAAATTGTATTCCTCAGATTTGTGGTTTTTGTAAACATCTAAAATACATTCATACGAATCGGAAGAAATCCAATCTCTATTAAAAATCGATATAAGTTTAGCAAGATTTTTACTAAATTGTTTTAACTGATCTGATATTGTAGCACCATNAAATTGTTTTAATTGATTTGATATTGTAGCACCTTTTTTATTCATTTCTCTTGCAAACTCGCAAAACCGATAAATGTATGTAATTCCCATACTTTCCACAACGTTCAAAATGATTGCATAACCCAGAGCACAATGTTCATATTTTAAGCATTGATCAACCATATCCGACAAAGATCTGTCTATTATTTCTATATTTTCATAAGGAACTTCTTTATGACTTACTAGACGACTCCAAGGTACTGGACAAACCATTTTATCCATTTTCAAACTCCTATAATAGGAATGATCCATAAGCTTTAATCCCATAATATTTTTGTAGTCCTTTTTAAGTTCTTTCAAGTCCTTACATGTGATATTACTTAGATCGACATCACAAATCGATTGGTTGATTGTTTGAATAAAAAAAAATATTAATTTCAATTTATTGAGTAACATATTAATATCTTAAGAGATTATTCAATAATTTTTAAATTTCATAAATGTTCATCAATTAAAATAAAATAGTTTAGAAATAAATTATTTACTAACTAAAAAATGTTCAATTACTGTAACAAGACTATTATAAGAAGTAGTCACAATTGTGTTTTAAATAGCAGATCAAGAATAAAATTTTAGTATATAGTTGAGTAATATTTGAACAATTGTAATTTAAAATACTTTTTTTTTAAATTATACGCAAGAAAATGTTTTCTTAATGTAACATCGTATATTATTCCCTAACACAAAACGCTTTATAGTAATTCAAAAATAAATAAATAAAAATATGGGTTTGCGTCGAGGTTGGAGTTACTATTTGTTGTTTTTAATAAAGATATTTCTCGGGGTATGAGTACAAAGGTTTGTAAGAAAAAAATAAGATAGAAAACTGAGTGATCTTTATTTATTAATATACCAATTATCGTGATTAAATGCCATATTCTTTAATTTCAATAATTTCATGTGTACTGACGGTTATCAATGATAGGTGAGATTGAATAACCTTGTGTGTCTACCTAAAGTAATGTGGTGGCTATATATGATCCTTCTACTTAACTCCTGACATAGATTCTTATCAATAAAAATCTAACTATGCCTTTTAACTCAGTTAAACACGTTATTGATTTATTATTACACGTTATTTAATTTACCTAATATATTTTTATTATTAACAATCACTTCATTTTTCTTTATTCCTACTCAAACTATGTACTCATAAAACTTAATTTTAAATTGTATAGATTATTGGTGAAATCATTATTTTCCTGCGTTAATATTGCCTGTGAATATTCTAAAATTAATATACGCTCATTCTTTTTATGAAATGCACAATATGGACGCAACGTATCACTTTTTGTACGTAATTTCGACTACTGACACATGAAAGATGAATTGAAACGAAACGTGTACTGTGAACGACATCTAACATGATAATTAACTTGGGGTTACTTTGATAACTACTATTTACATTTTTTTTTATGTATGTAATTTACATTTTATATCTTTTAATGATTCGTCAATACTAAAAAAAAATTACAGTAGGACATGTAAAAACTATGATGATTGGCTACTAAATGACGCATTAATCATAATTGCAAATGGCGATCATCAAATATTGGGTATGTTATTCTGACGAAAAAGATAAAATAAATAGTAAAAAAGGCATAACTCATGACTCTGAGTCTAATCAAGAACCTATAGTCTAGTGAACAGAATAGTAATATTATTTTTAATTAAGTCAATGCAAAATTTTAAAAACAAGGAGCGATAGAAAATTTGTAGATTGTTGTTGTAAAAAAACCCAGCACAGGGGGGTCGCGGCACAGTGGTGACGTGGCATAGTTGGATCAAGTATAATGATATCTGACAGTGATTAAAATCACTAACCGGCGTCTAAGCCAGGCCGAGTCCGGGTTGGGTGGAATACCTGTAGGCTGAGGATACTTGATAAAGGTCCTCAGTGCTACAGGTGTCTGGAACGTGGGCATATTGCCCACGCATGTAAGGGGCCGGACCGGTCAAAGGCTTGCTTCAGGTGCAAGAAGGAGGGGCACCTTTCCAAAGACTGCCCAAATAATGGAAAGAAAAAAGAAGAAGGTCAGGTTTCAAATCTGACCAAGAAGAAGAAGAAAGACGGCCTACCCCCACCTCCAAGTGGTCCAACCCGGGCAACGGACCCTCTAGTAGGGTCCGGCTAACGGGGGAGGCTACGCCGTGCTGGGATTCGGCTCTGGTGTAAACTTGGGCCGTATCTCAGCGCGGTGGTAAGAAGACGAAGGCGACGTGGGTCGCCCCGAAGCAATGCCTCACGGCAGTTCCGGGGCGGTCCACATTAGGTCGAAAGGGAGGGAAAAAAAAAAAAAAAAAAAAAGGATCCACCGGTCGTCAAGCCGAAGGAAGCCAACGTGACGGGTAGAAAAAGGAAGAAGAAGAAAAAGCGCCCTGCTGTCCAAGATTCGATCTCCGATTCAGTCGCGCCTACCCAGACGCAGACTGACGAGAGAGCGACGAACCGGGCAAACTACCCGAGGTCTGCAGAAGGGGATGCGGGAGGTACTCCCGCTGAACCGCTGTGGTCCAAAGTACTAGGAAGGAAGGTAGGAACAATAAAGAAGAAGGAGGAGACGGCGACCGCGCCTAAACCTCCACAATCAAAAAGAAGCCAGAATGCAGCGAAGCTGCGGTCAAAAGTGCCACGCACGGAAGCTGTGGTGATCGGCCCCTTGAGGGAGGGTCAGAAATATGCCACAGTTATGGGTATAGCCATGGCTGCGGTTGATCTTCTGGCCCTGGGCATCCAGGTGTCCGGGACCAGGAGAACACAGACGGGGGACGTCCTCTTGGAGGTCAGGGGGTCAGCGGAACAAGCGGACCTTCTGGCGGCCATGTTAAAGGCGGCCCTACAGGAGATGGACGTGCAGGTACAACGTCCCTCGATGACCTGCAGTGTCCTCCTACTGGATGTGGAGGAGTGGCAGGAGGAGCAAGATGTGCGCCAAGCACTGAGCGCCGCCCTGAATTCTCCAAATGGAGAATTGCCGCCAGAAGTGGGACCTATTACGGTCCTCACTAACATCGGTGGTAAAGGACGGTATGCGAGGTGCGAGGTGCCCCTCAAAGTTGCTCATCGCCTGGCAGGTCTAGGCCGAGTCCGGGTCGGATGGACGTCCTGTAGACTGAAGATTCTCGATAAGGGACCTCAGTGCTACAGGTGTCTAGAACGCGGGCACATAGCCCACGCGTGCAAGGGACCGGACCGGTCGAAGGCCTGCTTCAGGTGTAAGAACCTCTCCAAGGATGCCCTTTTTTTTTTTTTTTTTTCACGGTCGACATAATGCTGGACGCCCTGGAACTACCGTGAAGTATTGCTTCAGGGCGCCCAACGTCGCATAAAACTCATACCGCCGTCTTTTGACTCAGCCCGAAATTAATCAAGAGCTGAGTCACAACACGACGTTGCCTCCCCCGTTAGCCGGATCCTAGAGTGGGATCCGTTGCCCAGGTCACACCACGTGGAGGTGGGGGTAGGACTTAGCTAAGGGTGGGCATAAAAGAATTCACAAACACATAGAAACATACACAAACGGTGAGGAGAACGGGAGATACCCTAAGTAGGCCTCTCCTTTCCTCCCACCTTCTTGGGGCAATCCCTCGCCCTGTGGCCCGCTGCCCTGCACGTGAAACACGCGCCGGTCCGATCGACGCCGTTACAGGCCGTTTGCACGTGGCCCCTTTCGAGGCACCTGTAGCAGCGCGGTCCCTTATCCTGTGGGACCCGGATGGGATGGGCACGTGCCCCATCCCACCCGGAGCCGTGTCAGTCCGACCAGCGGTTGATGGGGACCTCGCACCACGCGTAGCGGCCCTTTCCACTACCATGAAGTCGGACTGACACCGCACCGACCGACACACCAACCCCTTCTTTCGAGAGGATAGTGGTCAACGCCCCTACGACGTCCTCTTCCACTATCCACTCTTCCACGTCTAACAGCATGAACGCCGCGGACATCACTGGGCGATGTACGCGGACGTCCATGCCGTCCAATGCCTCGCTGACCTTGGCGGCCAGCAGGTCGGCCTGGGCACCGGTTCCCGGGACCTCCAGGAGCACCGCTCCCGTCTTGGTCCTGCGGGTACCGGAAACCACAACGCCCAGCACCTGAAGATCGACGCCTTCCATCACCCTCTTGACCACGACCGAATATTTTTGGTCCTCTTTAAGAGGACCGATAACAACGGCCTCGGTCCGCGGGGCCTTCGCCTTTATGACGGGTCTCTGTGCTGAGACGGGAGGTTCGGGGTTTGGACGAGGTTTCGCCGACCGGTTAGGAGCCTTACGGCGGACTACGTCCGACCACGTATCTTGCGGTGGCACCGCAGGCGCTACCACGTTCTGGGACGCCCGCCGCAACCGCAGTCTGCGATTGTGGCGCACCATCGTTTCATCGGACACCCGCTTCACCATCGTTCCTGCCATTAGCCTTCTTACGCCGGCGTTTCCGTACCCGTTTGACCACCTTGGCGGTGGGTGGCAGGTCGCCGTCTGGTGCGCTTTCCCCAAGGGTATTCGACGCAGCGACTCCGGTGCTCAGTTCGCCGACGCTCACTGCAGCCTCGGGGTGCTCCATTTGTGTTCCCGCTTCCTTGGTGGGTACCTTCTCAACCCGACCCAGCATGGTTCTTTCATCGGGTGGGGCCTGATGGACCCCAACTCTTGACGACGGCTTCCTTCTCCTCTCTCCCTCCAGTACCGCTTCGAGTTTCTTCGTCGCTTCCTGGACCTCTCTATGGACTCCCATACCTCTCCGTTTGTCGATGACACCACGGAGTACTCTGACTTCGTTGACCATGGTCGGAGTCGCAGTCATTTCCTCCTTTTCCGGCGTGGTTCAGCTGAGCTTCTTAACTCAGTCAGAGCCTGGCACGACAGGGCTATCTGTTTAAGAAGGAATGCCAAATGAGTATTTGGCACCTCCTTCATGAGGCTTCCCTCTACCTCCGCGGCTCTGGAGAGAGAGACGAGGTGGTTGAGGCCAGCGTCAAAACGTCTCCTCATCATCAGTAACTTGGGCGCGAACGCCCCCTGGACCCTGCCTCAACAGTCCAACGGTTTTTCCCAGTCGCTGGATAACGACTGGGTCAAGCCTGCGTTAGCACTTTCCCCAGCCGGTCCTGGAGTCTCCGAAACTCCTGGCACTGTAACAGTTTTTTTATCCTGGTGTCCTTCCATATTTGGTTTTGAGGGTTTTACCTGCCGCCAGGGGATTGGTTTTCGGTGTTACCTTCACCTAGGTGGTCGCCTTACCAGGCTATCGGGCCCACCCGCCCGT